CCACTCCGGGTATTGTACTTCGCGAAAGCTTCGAGTAACCTCGCAACTTCCTCCTTTAAGGCCTCTGCATGTTGTGGTGTTGACCTTCTACTTCGCTGCACCACTAGCATCGAGTCTTGACTTACATTGAGCATGTGGCATGCCACACATGGGTCTTTTCCCTTCATTTCATATATGGTCCATGCAAAAATGTCATTGTAACAAAGCAAGAAGTGAACTAGTTGTTCTTTTTCTTCTGAGGAGAGACCCTTTCCTATGAGGAAGAACCTCTCTTCATCAGTGGGATCAATTAGTATCTTCTCAAGTTCTTCGACACGTTTATCTCTGAGTTGGGCACCGTCCTTCTCTTCTTCGGCCTCGGATCCTCGTGTTCAAACTTCTTGGATTACTTGTTTCGCAATAGACACAACCATGCATTGTTTTGCCATCATCTGATCTCCCCTTATTTCCCTTATACCATTTCCCTCGGGGAAGTGTACAATCTGATGGAATGTGAATGGAACTGCCCCTATTTGGTAAAGCCATGTTCGTCCCATTATGGCATTATAGAGGAAGGGCATGTTTACCACTTGAAATTCAACGTGTTCAACTGTTGCTTCGGCTTTCACCGGTAAAAGGATTTTTCCCAAGGGAAAAATCAGGCTTGAATGGAAACCATAGAGTGGTGAGTCTACCGGGAGTAGGGCTTCTAGGGACAATCTATTTGTTTGAACAAGCGCATAGTACATGCATTACAAGAAATTGCACGTTCGGTGACTAAAGTTTTAGTCGCCAAAAGTAAGATTTTAGTCGTCAAAACATTTTTCGACTAAATATTTTGGTTGCCAGATTTGTCATGGGAAGATTGTCAGGAAAGGTATTGGCGACTAAAAAATATTTAGTCACTAGAAGTCCTATAAATGGCGACTAATTTTTTAGTTGCCAAAAGTAAAGGTATTGGCAAGAAAAATAATCTTTAGTCGCTGATGAGGCTACATTGACAACTAATCTGTTAGTCGCCAAAATCTACTAATTTAATTTAAATCTCATTTTCAGCTACTAGAATTTTTGTCGCCAAAACTTGAAGTATCTAGGGCGACCAAAGTTTTAGTCGCGAATATATATATATATATTTTTGTTCATCTAACTTTTTTTAGATACTAAAATGTTTAGTCGCCTAAAGTCTCATTTGTTGTTTAGCTACTAAAAAGTTTAGTCGCCTGAAGTCTAATATTTTTTAGCTACTAAAGTTTTAGTCGCCTATACTATAATTTTTATGTTTTGGCAACTAAATATTTAGTCGCCAAAAGTGTTTTTACTTTTTTTGGCTACTAAATAATTAGTCACGTAAAGTGTTTTTAAATGGCTACTAAATATTTAGTCGGCAAAAGATTTAATTCTTTTTTAGCTACTAACTATTTAGTCGCTAAAAATATTTAACTCCATTTTTGGCTACCAATTGTTTAGTCGCCAAAAATATCATTTTATGTTTTTTTTTTAATTTTAATTAATTTGTCCACAACCTCTATGTACCCATCGTAACCTGTAACACGTATAAAAACAAAACAATATGTATATATTATCACCCATTCCATAACGCATATTTCACTTACAACCATCAAACAAAAAAGAATAACTTATAATGTCAACTTCTATACAAACCAAGTATATATTCCAATTGGAAATAATAACTTCATACATAACAAATAAGCGTACTAGAACAATGTCCGCCGTACACAAAAATATATTTACTACTATGCGAAATGACCATTTGGCAAGTACAAATTACGGTAATTTGTACCATGACAAAAGGTAATCTATATACCATGGCAAGAAATACAAGTTCCATGTCAAAAGTATTCTATACCCCGCCAAAAGTCATATGTACTATTTATCCAAATTCCACTAAAAAAGTAGAGGACGACAAAAAAACGGGGCTGTTCAAAAGTGTAAATTATCCTCCGTGCACAAAAATGGAAGATCCACATGTCTATGCCAAAAGTCATATACAAAAAAAAAATTACACCTATTAGCTCTATATAGCATTTGAAAATAAGACTACTCAAAAAAAAAGTTATTAGATCTGTAAAGGGATTTTTTTTTTCGTTTTTTACTTTTATTTTTTGGTTGAGGTGTAGTTTCATCCCTCAATCATAATATTTTGAAAATGAAATTAACATTATTGAAATGTTAGGAACCTAAATAACACAAAGTGTACAAGAGTAAAAGTCCATTGGCATCTAAAAAATGACAATCAATGTAAGGTTGTGCAACATATATATTCAATAGTAATGAGGAAAATTGTGGCCCCTAAAAAATGACAATTAATGTAAGGTTGTCACAACCCAAACCCACTCGTATAGGTTTAGCGTCGTAACTGGCCAGTAATTCGAGATTACCAAAGGCCTTCCTGTACAAATCAAAATAACCGGGGCTAGTGGAAGCTTATAACATAAAGACAACAAATAGTCCATTGAGCTGTGTATCTATATGCACAGATTCAGACTTATATAAACTTTAATGTACCCACTGAGCAATACATACATAATATCATGTACAAAAACATCATTCATGTATACATACACATATAGCAAAAGCTGACAATATGATCACAAACTATACAACGATCTTCTCGACCTAGCCTCAACTAATAGAGGCACCAAAACTCGGTAGGGCTTTCACAGGTGGCTCAGCTAACAGAACCTTTTTAGGCTTGATCTCCAGGACACTCACCTATACATATATAGATACAAACAGTGAGTCATAGCCCAGTGAATAACATTAAAGTAAAGGGGTTAGTGAAGGAATTCCAAACATTTCTTAAACATAACATAAATCATATTAGAATCATTCTCATATCAGAACATAATAGTGGTACATCCAACAGACCAAATCATATTGTCTTTCGACTAGAGTAATTGATTCCGGATTCAGATTAAACACATCACCACATTATCACGTGGTTAATGAGATCTTGTAATCACATATATGTCATGGACCCGCATTAATATGTTGTCCCCCATGACTTGGGACCAATCTTTGGATGCCATTATAAATTCAAAACCAGATATTCATTCACATTCACAAAATACCATTTCAGGAAAACATAACTTATCAAATAGCATTTCAAATATAATTCATCAGAACATATCTTTATAGTAATGCTACTCATAGTGCTTGGTTGGATGGTTCACCTTAATTCATTATCTCTCTCTTAGAAGATATTTTGTTGAGCCTATGACTTAACTAAAGCTCATTTGTATGTATATATATAATAAATATAAATTAAATCCCATTAATTCATTCTGAATCGAATTTTTATAAACTTCATATTAGGCTCTAATAAAAATCATACTGATCACAATTATTTAATCGATTTTGGATCCTGGTGTCTCTAAGACCTTCAATTTCTTGTTTAAAGTTGTAATTTCAACAGGTCTACAATCAACAGATATAAAGTTAAATCCTTCTAATTCACATACAATTTCTCATCAAACACAGCTCAATGGACTATTTGTTGTCTTTATGTTATAAGCTTCCACTCGCCCCAATTATTTTGATTTGTACATGAAGGCCTTTGGTAATCTCGGATTACTGGCTGGTTACGACGCTAAACCTATAGGAGTGAGTTTGGGGCTTGACAAAATGGCATCAGAGCACAAGTTAATTTACCCACACACGTGTCCAATTGAGCTATAGGAAGTCTAGAAAAGATTTAGGAATATTTGCATTGTGTTACAAGTGTGTGAGTGATGATATGAATCCATGAACTCTATGTGAACATGAGAATAAACGTTATATACTGATGTGTGCTTTTCTCATTCGCTTATTGCATATGAAGTACATGAAAGTTGTATCATCTAGATGACCGGTGTATGTCGCCACCTATTCGGAGCCTGTTTTAGATATGGACAAAAAGGACATTTGGCTAAGTCTTGCCCACAAGCTCATCTGAACAACAATAGGCTGAATGCTAGTATGGCTGATTCCACCTCGATACCAAGAAGAACTGCAACATTTACTCCTGAGAAGAGCAGTTTGAGGCAAGGAAGGGTTTACACTCTAGTATCATAAAAGACTTAGAATACTAAGACGACTAATATAGGTATTATCTTAATTTTATGCAAAATATTAATGTGGAAATTAGTGTGAGAATCATAAATTTCTTGATTCGGTATGACTTGTGAACATGTTGACTGAACTCATTGACTCCTTGGAACCATGGGCTTATGCCTTATACTTTGATTGCTAGTGATATGTGAAATATGATTATAATTGACATGTTACATTTGACTTGTTGATTTTGAACATAAAATCTTTAAAGGGTTATGAGTATGCAATGAAACGTGACAGGGTTGAATGATAGCTCATGAATATGGACTTGACCAATTATCCTTGCTATGGAAAATATTTGGACGTGTGAAATTTTGGCGCATTTGCTAGGTTGATCCTTTGTATTGAATTTACTTAGTGTAATATGAATTGCTACGCATAATAATTGGAACTATGTTGAAAATGAATAGACACAGGAGCCACTACAACAAAAAAAAGGTTTTTACGGAGCAAATTGCACACCGTAAAAACCCTTCTACGACGTGCAACGTAATGTCATATTATGACCAGTCAGAAAAAATCATTCACTTTCAACAGCATGCCTTAGTATACCGTTAAAAACTATTTAACAGCAAATCTTACGCGTCATTTTTACTTTTTCTAGGACTACTTTTGCACGCCGTTGACAAATAACAACGCTGATTGCACGCCATAGAATATGTAATACAACAACTTGCTCAGCCTGCCATAGATAAGTAAAACATACAACATTCGTAGAATGCTATGGAATATGTCATATAATGGCCTAATTTGCTTACTGTAGAATGTGCATTATTATTATTATTATTATTATTATTATTATTATTATTATTATTATTCAACAGGTTCTATTTCGACCTGTTTTGTACAATCTAACAAACATTACAAACAAGCTTCACAAAATATCAATCAACCACCAAAATATTATTTCAAGCATAAAAAATAATCACATCCATAAATTATGAACATTCAAAAATTGTTAATACATTCCAAACATCCAAAAACTAACCGTAAGTTCAAAACCATCCAAAAGGACTATCCTTAAGTTCTAAATTATCCAAAAGTTATAAACCATCCAAAACTATATCATATATAAGTTTGTAAACAAAATCCAAAACTATTCAAAGATTATAGAAATCTATTCATCAAAGTCCTCAAAAACTAGCTATCACCAGATCATCGTCACTGCTACTATTGGGCTCATACTCATCATCTGAACCATCTGTTAGGCAAATGCACCTCACATGTTACAATTCTGAGGATTTCAAGTTAACAATAGTCAAGAATTCTAGCCAAAAAGATAAACAATATGAGATGTAAATTGATAGAAAGCACTTACCTGACTGTGTGAACTCCTGCATAATAGCAGCAGTTTCCTTTACAAGTTGAGTGACAGGAATTGGTTCCTATACATTACCATCATCAGATCACATTGCAAGTTATAGTAGCTATAAAGCTGTAATATTTTACAACCAAAAAAAAATACAGATAGCATAATCTTGTGATTTCCCAAATGAATTGGCAGGGGTACTTCATGTATCCAAGGTCACATTGTGCAACATCTAAATAACATGAACCATTACTAAAAGTATACTTGTCCATTTGAGACCCCAATGTTCAGCAATGGGTGGTGATACATATAAGTAATCTACAAGTCAACTAACGAACAAACTACGGACAAAGAAATGAGCTATTCTTGATTCGATATTAGTTAACTTGAAGCTGTTTAGAGCAGCTATGATTTTTGCATTCCATAATGAAGTCCCAAACATTAACAAATCAGTATTGTGTTTTGACTGGGGGAGAAGATGAAAAAACAAAATCAGTATAGTAGAATAAGTTACAAGACCCCAAATTTATCTTCTTTTCATTAACTTACTCAGGCAGGCATGATTGGTATGCAAAAAGTCCTATCAACAGGGTCAACAACAATACAATGTTTTGTATAATTCAAAAATTACCCAGGTCCAAAGAAACTTTGAAGTCAGTGATAATATCAAACAGTTCTCAAATACAACTAAAAAATGGCATTTCTCAAAATCCCAATAAATAGTTTAAACATACCTGTACAATTCATCTTAAATTATAAATTCTTCAATAACCTGTTTATTGTCAATTATCATAATATATATATATATATATATATCACTATTGAGGGTTTAAAATGGCAACAATGGTGGTCGTTTTTGTTATTTACATTTAATTAGTTCCCAACTATTCAACCATCACTTTAAACTTTTGTTTTTGTCATGATCAATTAGCTAAACAAAATGAAACCCCTTTGGAAAGTAGTATCTGGTGAATGAAAGTTTCTTATTTACTACCCCTGTATCTAGAATAGGCTAATACACAACTATAACACAACTACTTTTAATTCAATAAACCCTTTTAGAATTTAGATGGAGAGAGAGAGAGAGAGAGAGAGAGTATAATATCTTAAGAATAATAATAATTTAGAGGTAAGTAATGAATTGATATGAATAAATTTTTGCAAGAACTGAAAATTTTAGCAGCCAACCTGGTAGTCCATTTTGTCAGTACACCCACCATGTCCAGGAATATACTATGACCAAAATCTTGCAATAATTAAGGAACAAAGCAATACTATGGATCCCATTTGGATATTGATATAAATTTAATCAAAGAAATAGTGAACAAGATCCACCTTAATTTGAAAAGCTCTATTGAAACCACTTGCCAAAAAGCCCCAAAAAGTGCTATAATTGACACAAATAAACCCATGCACAAAGCATATCATTGAATATGCAAAAGTACTGATGTCTCTTTCCAATGAAACTGTAAATTCAATGAAACAATAACATCAAAATAATTTCAAAAAATTTATGATAAATCAAAGATAAAATAATTTAAAACATTTATAAGGAACATTCAAAAGAAAATCACAATTTAAGGGAAATGTAGAATCCAAGGAATGATATTCATCAAAGGCTAGTGGATCTGCACTCAACTATGATCATATAATTTAAACAATCTCAAACTTCCATTATTAATTTACAACCAGTTGTGTAAAGGAAATTTTAGAACATCCATGTAACATATTCTATTTCTCACAAAATAGCAAACATCCATGAACAAAATAAAATCAAGGTTTACTCAAGAAAAGTAAGAACTTTAATGAAAGAAAAGAAAAGATAGAGTATTTCATCTTACTTAGCATATACTCGAGCTTGAATTACTTCCCATTTGTCCAGCTTCTAACACTAAAATCCCATCCTAAAGAATCATCGACAGCGAAAGTAACTGTGTCAATTGTTTCCAAGTGAAGTGAGAGGGAAACAAGGAGAGCAGTGGCAAGAACCACAGCTCTGCTTTCACTGTATCTTCCCTGGTGATATGTTTAGCTACATCATCTTGGTTGGCCTCATCATCTTGTGCCATTTCTTCAGGATCAGAAAGTGACCTCCAAAAAACCATGGACCATCTTCAAGAACACTAGCACTATTAGAACTCAAGTCAAACAATAAGAATATAAAACCATTATTAGTAGAAATTACCTCCCTCAGACCCTTTCCCATCCACAGTTTAAATGCATAGGATTTCCCAAAAATAACATAAACTATCCTATAACCATATAATTTAACAATCAAGATAATGCATTGACAATATGGCAACTAAATTGTTAGACCATAAAACATGCCTCTTCTTCCGTTCAACAATGAAAAAAAAAAAATAGCCTATACAAATATGCACGTCCATATTAAGTACAGAAACAAAAATCAAAATTTTAGAGTCTCAATCAGCATATGCCTGCAAAATCAATTAGAGAAGGGAATTGAAAACACTTCTTTCATAATAATAACACTTGAATCCAAAATGACAATAATTTCCATCCAAAATGCCCCAAATCAATCCAAAATAATCAAATCCAACAATCAGAACAGCTTCAATTTCATTCTAATCACACAAAAATCAACACAAAAGAGAATTCAATTTTGACTTAAAATCAACATGTACCTGGTAATCAACAGTTGGATAAACGTAACCAAAAGCATTTCCTTAGGGTTTCTAACAACCAAATCAAATAACAATCTGATACCCAGTTACACACATATACAGACTTCGAATTTCCATTTTCGCTATTAGGGTTTGGAAATTGAACAATCAGATACCCAATTACACATACACACACACATATAGACCTTTGGGAGTTGAAGAAATTGGGGACCAATCGGACAAGAGACCGCCATCAAGAACCCCCAAAGCCTCATTAGACACCGTCATGAACTTCGATCCCTTTTTCCTTCCAGTACATCTACTTCACCTCTAGAAGAATCGACCCCACGAGTATTAAGAGAATCAGCCATAATCAAGGAGAGATTGATGAAACCCTAGAAATAAGATGTTTCTAGAGAGAAGGCATACATTCTCTCTCTAACCCATCTAACTTTTTTGTTTCATTACAACTTTCTAACTGAGTCAATAACTTCCCATCATTGTGTTCAACTTGAGGACACTTTTGCTTCTTGGAGCTCTTGATGTCGATTTGGGTTTGGGTTTGGGGTTTGATAGAGAGAGAGTGAGGGTTTGTAGAGCATTTTCTATGTTAATGTTCTTGCAAGAGATGATGAAAACACAGAGAGATGGAGAAATAATGTGGCAAAGAGAGATCAAATGAAAGGAAAAAACATTATTGTTTTTCACTACCTGTATCAGGGTGTTTGGGCGATGAAACCCAGAGAAAGGGATGAGTTGAGAGGGCATTCAAGATCGCTGAGGACGTGAAGCTAAGAATCGCGAGAGGAGAGGAAGAAGTCGATTTGGGAGAGATCGAGCTTGGGAACCAGTCTCGACAACGAGGATGATGATGAAGAAAGTGGAGATTCATGGTCGGTTTTGAGGGTTGGGTTGAAGGTTAAAGCCAAGAGTTGGGGCTTTTGATTATTATCTTCTTCTTTTTTTTAATTTTTTGGTGAATTGACGCTAGAAAATTTTATTTTGGCACTCATTTTTTTTTTTGGTCATACCTTTCACGACATGCATTGTGCATCATAAAAAACCAATACTTTTAACGGTAGGTGATGTGTGCATTGTCAAAAGTACAATACTTTTAACGACGGACGTTGTGTATGCTTTGAAAAAGTGCAATACTTTTCACAGCTGGCGTATATTTGTCATGTATAGTTGATGTATTAACAGCATGCCATATGTATGTCATAGAAAGTTTTATTATTTACGGCAAACATTGCAAGTCGTAAAAAAATCATCGTTACTATCGTTCACGGCCTACGCAATAGATACGCCGTGGTTGGAAAATTATTTACGACGTGCAAAAAAAGCAAGTCATACAAGTGAGAAACTACGACATGCATTTATTGTATGTCGTTGATTTGGTGCCGTAAAAAATCCATTTTGTTGTAGTGAGCATGCTATGATTGACTGTGATATGGGGTATTGAGTACATTTTAAACCATGACTTCGTTTGGAATATCATGATGGCTTAATGACATTTACATTTTATGAGATTAGCAAGAAATTCTTACCTTTAAGTGTTGTTGTGATGACTGGGTATGGCATTAGTTTCATTTTCCCTTAGTCTGACCTTGGGTGATCTTGTCGGGGTGTCGGTTGGCTTGGAAACTTGTTAATTGTTGGGGGGCTTGTTGCATTCGTGAGTCCTTTTTTCAAAGTTCTTCCTTTGTTTATTCTAGAAGATGCGGAGTTGGATTCGAAGGACTTGAATTTTGAGCTGGGAAAAATTTTCTGGGCTGGATGGCTGAGCCACACGTGCAGGGGCCCTCAGCCGTAAGTGCAAGAGAGGGGCTGCACGTGCAGAATTCAGGGGAGGTTTGGGGCAGCACACTACAATATATGCAGGTGCGGAGCTAGGTGTGGGAGGGGACGGCCGTATGTGCGGAGATGAAGGCCGCACGTGCGAGAAGGAGGCTCCGCACGTATGTGGGCACGTGCGGCACGTGAGGGACGCTGGGTAGTCCGAATCTCTGTTTTAGTTTCTCTCTAGGGCTGTGATTATATCACTTTTGGCTCATCTCTCTCTCTCTCTCTAAAAATCATCTCCTCTCCATTCTCTCTACATTTCATCCACCAAAACACTTAGGGCTCTTGATTTCTCAAGATCTATTGCACTTCTAACCTTAGTTCCTTCATCAAAGTGGGAAAGCTCCCAAGAACTACATTGTGGATGTGGAGATTAGGTTTGGGCATCTTTGATTTCTAGGGTTTCATCTCCTTTTTTTCACCAAACCTTGAGGTAGGGACTTCATGAGTTATATATACATGTTTTGCATTATTGATGATGATTTTGAAGGTTCTCTTGAAGCTATTATGTTAGTTTTTATTTTATGGCCCAAAATGTAGAGATTTTCAAAAAAATGAGCTTCAAAAATCTTAAATCTACTTAAGATAGCATCTTGAAGGCTAAAATTGTTTTAGATAAGAGAAGGATGTGTTCTTAAGGGTCCCTCTCATGTATTTGGTGTGTGTGTGTTGTTTCTAAAGAGGAAAAAACCAAGAATTTTGTGGGGGTTTCTCAAATAAAGGAAGATGAGAGCTTTATAAGTGATATTATATGTATATATATATATATATATATATATTCATGTTGGTGTGCCATGGTAAGTAAAGAAAGTGGAGGTTTTTCCTTATTTAATTATAAATGCATTCATATAGTGATGATTGGATTTCTCTACTCATGAAAATTATTGAGATTGGAGGTTGTTGTTTAAACTTTGCAATTGTTTGAGACGATGAAATGGTGGAAGTGCACACATTGTGGACACATTGTTGTATTAGTGATAATTAGTCACAAACTTTGGGCTATTTGTGGAATAGCATTGCAAAGAGAAAATGGGAAATTGATCATTTTTTATTTTTTTGTTAATATTGTTGATATTATGTTGAAAGTGGATAATTATAGCATTGCATACTCATTCAATTGATCATTAAAAAAATTTTATTTAGCTTTGGCATGTTGTATAGACACTTCTAGCATCTATTGTTACAAGTGTTGAGTTGGGATTTGAAATCATTTATTTGAGAAAAGAATAACGTGAAACAAAATTATGGAAATGTGTATGGGGTAAATACATTGGTAAGTCTAGTTAGGAGGTGTAGATGAATTGATAAGTTTCCTGAGTGTCTGGGGTGAAAGACTGAAAACACATGCGGAGAAGGTATCACTTCCCTTCCGGTTAGCAACCAGTAAAGTGGGGTTATTGGTAGTGCTTGTTGAGCTTACTTGCAGACACCAACCAAGGGATTACCTAAGTCGTATTTACCACCCCTATTGATTAAAATTGGAGGTTTTGAAATTGATGAGATTGCAAATGGTTATTGAAAACATGGTGATTTTCAAGAAGAGCATGAAACGAAGTTATCTTTGAAATGGCATTGCATGGCATTGCATTTGCATTTGCATTAAATGTTGGAAAATTTGCATAACTGTATATACTTTGTAAGGATTCTCTACTGGGCTTTATGCTCATCTCTATGGTCTGTTAGGGGTGTGGATATGTTGTGAAGAGTAATTGCTCTGTTTTGTATGATTTAATTGCTAGCCAAGGGCTATTCATGTATGGGTCCGAGAGGGCATTTTTGTGTAACCGGACTTAAGCCTTGAAAATTGTAAGCCCATGAGGGCATTTTATTATTTTTGGAACACGATGCTCTACATGTTATAGATTCATGTATTTCTATATCGTTGAATGTATAATTCACATGTGGAACTTTTGTATAAATCTTGTTGATTGATGGTGTAATGATTAGAGTATTATTATTATTATATAGTGGATGTTTGTTGATGCATTTTATTTTTGGGGGATTATTTTCGGGGCGTTACAGTTGATCTTGGAAGATTGTTTGATTTCCCCATTTCTTTATTTCTTCTTCCTCTTGTTCTTCTAAGTCTCTAGAAGTCTCTTGCTCATTCTCACTCTCAGAAGATATTTTGTTGAGCCTGTGGCTCGACTAAGGCTCATTTGTATATACATATAAATAATAAATATTAATTAAATCCAATTAATTCATTCTAAATCGAATTTTTACAAAACTTCATATTAGGCTTTAAAAATCATGCCGATCGCAAATATTTAATCGGTTTTGGTTTCTGGTGCCTCTAAGACTTTCAATTTCCTGTTTAAAGTTGTAATTTCAATAGGTTTTTCTACAATCAATAGATATAAAGTCAAATTCTTCTAATTCACATACAATTTGTTATCAAACACATAATCAATTTACATATAACAATACAATTAGATGACTAATTAATCAGATGCATGTCCAGGTCATTACAAAGGTTGTGCAGCATATTCAACAGTAATGAGAAACATTTAGCCCCTAAAAAATGACAATTAATGTAAGGTTGTGCAACATATTTAGCAGTAATGAGAAAAAATTTAGCCCATAAAAAATGACGATCAATGTAAGGTTGTGCAACATATTCAGCAGTAATGACGTAAAATTTCTTTGTAAAACAACTTGCCAATGCTTATTTGTCAAACCAGAAGATGATTAAAGGTCAACATTAAGGTTAAATTGGGCCTAGTCTTCCTTCTGGTTCTTTACAACACTGTTTAGTTGTTACATTTAGCAGAAATGTCATGTTGTTGAGTAAATGGTTTTGCATATTGCATATAAGTTGTGACAATTCAGTAAATTAGGCCATCGATTAGTCAATCCAAACCACCTAGAATCTTATAAATGGACCCATCTATATGATCATTCTCATTGTTGAGCTTGTTCGGGGGCTGCTTCGCATTTTCGCCTCCCGAACGACCTTTTTCGACTAAGTTGAAGGTGTTTTTGCACTCCTACTCTCAACCTTCATGTGCTAATTATATCCCGTCTATCTCCACAGGTCCTAATTGTCATGAGGAAGCTACCCATGACATCCATAAAGTGGTTCAGGGGCAGCTTTGCATTTTCAGCCCCAAATAGCCTTTTTTGACTAAGTTGACGGCATTTTTCACTCCAACTCCCAACCTACATGTGCTAATTACATCGCGTTTGTTCCCACAGGTCTTATTTGTCCCGAGGAAACTCTCATGTAGACCTGCAGGCAGGCATCTTCCATATCTAAAAACTTTTCAAAATAATATTTATTAAATTTCTTTCCTAAATTAACTACAATACATAATATCTTTAGCAATGCCTTGCAATGCCTATATAAGATATAAGCTTCAATCCGCCCCTTGAAAGTTTTGCTAAAACTAATAGCTCCAAACCAAACTCGTTGCATCAAAACCAGCAGCGTTTTTGTTTGTCATGTTATTTTTTTGCACCAAACCAAACATCTACATTGGACAAGACTACTAAAGGGTACTAACCCACAATTGTTGTTTTCTTTCCCATGGACAATATCTCCTTTTAATTAGTCACTAATGAACAATAAACAAATATTTTAAGAAAAAGAAAGCTCCAAAAGAAGTAAGATTGTCTGTGTCATTCTCCTTTCCCCCTCTCTCCCCCTCCCTCCCTAATTCCATGCCCCCTCTCTACAACAGGATTAAAGTCAGATTGTTTAGGTGTTTATAGGGTGATGAAAAAAAAAAAGAAAAAAGAATACCCAACACAATAAACTTCCTTTATTATATGGTTTTTCTTCTACATCAATAAAGTTCCTCTATTTGCTGATGAAAAAAAAAATGCCTAACACAAAAGCACAACTTAAAATGGGTTTAGTGACGATAATAAACTTGGCAAAGGAGGTTTTGGAAGTGTCTACTAGAGTAGAACTTCATATGGCCTTCAGGTTAGTGCTCTCTCTACTTTGCTTATCTCATCTGCACATCATGTTTCCTGCTTTGCAATTTTTTTTTTATCATCTGGCTATTGATTTTACCTAATAGAACTCACACCTGACCAGTAAAATTTTCTTTTATTGATCGTTATTGGTTGGTTGTTTTTTGTTTTCATTATGAACATGATGCAAATGGCAGTAAAGAAGTTGAACTTACTAAATGCAAAAGTA